AGATGACATTTTTTTATGGATATTTTGTCAAAGCACTTAAGATATTCATTGCTATCGGGATGTTAAGAGCATTCCATGGAATATAACAAAAAGTGTATCTCGAGCCGGTTTCTCAAACTTACCTACCCCACCTTTAATACAAAAGTAAAAAAAGATTGCAATCAATAATGCAATGAAACAATTGAAAAATAAGATATTTATATTAACATAGACATTCAAAGTGAAATGTCTGATCAAAGAAAAGCATAAAATTGATTACAATATTTGTTCAAACATAAAAAGTATGAATGTGAAATAAAGAGATTACAATACAATTAAATACAAATGTTTTTATAAACCTATGAATGTAGTCAAGCAAAATGTCCAACAAAAGAAAAAAAAGGCAAAAGAATGGATAAAAAAATATTTATAAAAATGTATTTATTAAAGTAAAAAGATAAAATAAAATATTTGTATTAATATAAACATAAATTGTCATGTAAAATGTTCAATAAAAAATCAAATCAAATAGAATAGAATAAACCTACTTTATATAAACAAAAGACTGATGACGCTGATATGATGCCACATTCCTCAAAAGGTCAGTTACAGGTATAGGAGTTAAGGAAAGTATTTCTTAGTATTTGGACACAAATGACGGTACAGTATAAAATTATAAAACCTGCAGCACGTTTGTTGAAAACTAATGTTCATTTGCTTAAAGGTCCCCTATTATACTGTTTTTCGTCAATATATTATAGGTCTCAGATGTATACAGAACATGTCTCTGAAGTGTTTGGCTCCAAACACCAAACAGATCATTGCAGCATCCCATAATCCCCTGTTTCAGCCCTGTTCCAAAAGTGCTGATTCTCTGTCTGTTACTTTAGATGAAAATAAGAAGCCCCTCCCCACGCCCCTCTGAGAGAGATTTGGTTAAAAATAACACAATGGTGCTCTAGTACCCCATTCACACCAACGGTGTTTCAGGGCCGGTTCGGAGCTGGAGCTTGAAAAGCACCGGGTTTTCCTGTTCACACCGCAGCGGAGCAGCCTCTAAGCTCCGGAATCCGGTTCGTTTCGAGCATCAAAAAGTTGTCCGTCTAGAAGCAAGAACCGCATACGTCACGCTTACGTCGGAGGGGGGCGAGATTAACCTGAGCTAACAGTTAAGGCGAGTACGGCAAATAACAGTTGTAACCAGCAGTAGTGCTGAGCAAAGTGACTAGAACGCAACCACACACTTGTAAAAAAAAAAACACGCTTTATAAAGTCAGGCAACACTAACCAGGCTTCGTGTGATTCTGTTTATTTGTACCTTACTTTGACCATCCGTTCGCTGTTATTGATCATTGTGGAGAGCAGGCAGACGTTTTGTTTGTTATTATAGCAGCTATCGGATGGAATCAATACATGGGCTGCACAGGTTGTCATGTCCGACTATCACAAGTAGAATCATAATGAAAAATACGCCGGTAAAAAGTGCCTGTAGAAAACGGCTTAGCAAGTAGTCAGTTTAGCTTCGGTTGCTATGCTAACATCACCCATGTTATACCAGAGAAACTTTCATAACAGCGTTGTGATGCCAAACAGCGTCAATTCAGACTGACACACATTCACTTAAGGGGAACTGGGGATATGTATCAGCTGCTTGTGTGACAGTCAGACAGTGAATACTTTAGAGCCGTGTGAGCTAACCCGGAGCTAACGGGAGAATAAACTCCCGTTGAAGAGCAGCCAGCACTGCAGCGGTCGGTAAATGCCGCTGAAACACATTAATAAACAATGAACCACGGCACTCTGGAGAAAAGTATAAGGTTGGAGAAGTCGTTATTTAATTTAATCTGGCTTCGTATGATTAAAAGCAACACGATCATCGACCCGACGCAGTCCCTGGCCCGTTGTTGTTGTGAGGTGAGCTCCGTTGGGGAGAAAATCAGCGACGTAAACTGTGACGTCATGACGCAGCAGCGGCAGCACCAGTCGGGCTCTGAGCGGTGTGAAAAGAGCCGGCGCTAAACTGAAGAACCGGTTCTGAACCAGAAAAGCTCTAGCACGGAGCTAGAAGGGGAAAAGCCTTGGTGTGAAAGGGGTATAGGAGGAGATTCAGGTGATAAGGTGGGGGGGGGGGCTTACCTTGGTTGGTGATTGGCTAATGGTTACACAAGCCAAAACATCGTTATGACATCATAAAGTGGCCAAAATCTGATCAGCTCATTTTCAGACAGGTTTTTATATAAATGGATCAGGACAAAAAGTGAGAGAATCTTTTTTCCTGAAACCTTCAGAATCTCTTTACACAGAGGGGACACATGTTCATGTAGAAAAGACATGAAAAAGTGGGTTTTGCATAATAGGTGACATTTAAGTTCTGAAAGTTGCTTTTTTGTTAACTCTTCATTGTTGCACGTCTCTATTGTCTTTGTCGAGTTTTGTCCCCTTGGAAACAGTTGCCATGTTAAATGTGATAAAGCAAAAAAACAGCAACTCAAAAGCAGAAAGAAACCCACACACTCCACAGGCAGACCATAAGCACTCTCACCAGCACGCCTACACATGTCCATACAATGCCCCCAAGCTCAGTACCTACTGCGTGGCTACAAACCTGGTGAGCACTCTCTGAATGTCCTTCATTTGCTTTAAAGTGGACCTATTATGCTATATTTGAAAAATATATTGTAGGGCCATACCTATACAAAACATGTCTGTGAAGTTTTTTGCTTAAAATACCAAACAGATCACCCATTGTAGCCATGCCTCATACTGCTCATAGCCCTCTATTCCAGCCCTGTTCCAAAAAGGCTGATTCTGCTTTAAGTGGAACGGCTGCTGCTAGCCACGCCCCTTTGTAGCGTCACGCAGCTTTCCCCTGCTAGAGAGATTTCTACCGGGAGATCTCACCTAAACGCTGTGGTATTTCTGAAACAGTATATGGAGCTCAACCCTTTCTCTCTCACAGGGTTTACCACAAGGACATTACGTTACACATATTCTCTCCAGTAGCCTACAGCGTTAGCTCCATGGCTAGCTCTGAGTGTTAGCATGCTTGCTAATGTTAACACAGACCATATTACTCCAAAAACACGCCGCGCATTGTTTCTGATACAGCACATAGCTTGACATGTTCTTTCTTAAGTGTTTACCGCTAGAACAGTGCTATTATATGTATTATATATATAACAACTTTACTGAAGTGCCTCCTGCAAGCATCCTGCTGAATACACAGACACACAGCTGCGAGAGGGGATTCAGCTAGACGACTGTATACGGAGACGATAGGTTGGGACGTGTCACGTGTGCCGGGGACGATAGGTTGGGATGTGTCACGTGTGCCGGATGTTGCCAATGACGTAATACAGTAGGAGCCAAAATCCTGGATCTGATTGTTTGCCCCCCCGTTTTCATTTTTTTTTTCCCGATGTGGGTACCGAGGAAAAGAGAGAGGGTTTTGTTTTTTGACACTTTGTGAGTTCCCTGACACACCGGGGACACATATTTATGTATAAGAGACATCAAAAAAGTGCATTTTGTATAATAGGTCCCCTTTAACAAAGAGTTATCTCCATCATAAATATGAATATGCTGCCATGACAAAGGGAGGCATTATTTTAACAAGCCGGGTTTTTTAAAAGCTGGTCATTTCAGAAATGTTTTGTACAACCTCATAACCTTCAATACATGCATTTACATACAAAATAAATCATGTCCACTTCACTTTTTTGTAATGACAAGAACATGTTGCAAGCTATATCTTTAGGATCTTGTATTTTGTGAAATGTGCTTTATCCGTGGAATGCTCTTAACATCCCGATAGCAATGAATAAATTAAATGCTTTGACAGCATTTAATGTGGAAGCCGTGGCGCTTTAAAAAGCACGACCAATTATCTGCCTCGGCCCATGGCAGATAATTGGATGGCCTACCTGCCTGTCAGCCTTCCACAAACTTATCTCGTGCCCTCATTGGTCATGTGCGCGTCCGTGTGTGTTGGAGGAGGGGCTCTGTGAGGAAGTCTGAAGGAAGGGGCAGATTTTTTTCGGTTGTGTACTTTCAAATTCTAGCGCACTCGAGCTGGTTTCTCCATTCTTACCTACCCTACCTTTAACTAAATTAATAAATATGAATCCACAATAATGTGATTGTAACACCGTGTAATTATAAAATATACAGAGAATAATGCGAAATAATTAAAGTCTAAGTATCTACTTATCAATTAGCCTACTGGCCCTAATTATTGTTACTAGGTTGCACAAAAATGGGTTAAACAGGATAGCAGTGCTGGTATGGAAATACAATTGGTAAGGGTTTAAATTATTCTTATTTTTTATAAAAGTCAAGTGACAAATTATGCACTTATCAATAGAAATGCGTTAAGAATTTTAGCTGGGTAACAATAAATTAGGGCAAATCATTATTATTATTATTATAATAATAATAATAATTATGATCGTACAACATGCAGTATAATGTGAAAAGATAATTATGTTTCAGGTGATAAATAAAAACTATTACTATCTAAGATAATAATGATATTGTTAAAATTGATATAGGCTAAACTTTGTTAACTCCTGTATGCTCGTTTTTAAACACACATTTGTGGCTCCCTTATTCCCTGTATTTTCATAACCAGAACATAATTGAGTTTGCTTTTACTATAATTTGCTTACACTGATGGTTGTGCATTCAAGCCTATTTTCAACATGAACTCTAGCCTGACTAACTTTAAGGTCTGAATTCATTTCATTTTAACTAGCATGAATGTTTAATTTTTAAATGTTTTAGCTTTAACATGGTCCGCCTTAAGAGAATATGACATCAATTTATAGATTTTCTGTTGAGCATTCTAGAAAAAACATGAACACAAGCAGTGCGCACAAACAACGAAACAAGTCCCAAACAAACAACCAAGCCCAACGACAGTGAAGGCATCACAGAGGAACACAGTGGGACAGAACAACATGGTAGTGACAGGATAACAGTGATGGATGCTGATGAGCAGGGTGGAGTCTGATCTGCCCTACCTTTTCTGACGCAGATCAGCTCATGTACTCCACAGTTACGCTCTCCACCTGGAAACACAATGCAGTTTCAATGAGCCACACAACAAGAGACAGAACGAACATCATGGAATCACATTCAAATATGTTGGAACATTTACACGGATTCCCAGAAAAGGACAGGAACAACACAGATATAAGACGTAGACTGGGTGGATGTGGGTGGTGTACAAGCTGCTCATCTCTGAAATACAGACATACAATACTTAATCAAACAGCCTGGCTGGATACATGTCATGTACAATGAGTTACATTGTGCTTTCTTTTTTGTCTCATGGACAATAACTGGAATGCTATAAATGCCCCAAATGTTTTCCCAGCAGCCGATGACAGCTGCATCTTGATATCTGTTCTGTGGAGCTTTATATGACGCCTGTTTTGGTTTTTATCCAAGATACTGTGATAAGCAGTTCCTATTATAGAGCATTTGCCATTTGGAGGGGTTGCCTGATCATCTGACAAGCTATTTAAATGACTCCAATAGAGGGGTGCAGGAATGAGTCGTAAACCAGGCTAGCTCCTTGAATTAGTTCTTGGTTAGACTCCCGAAATAAGTTCTGTGATTAACACAACCTTACGAGATGTTCAGGTGTTGTCCAACGACATCAAATATGGCCCAACTAATTAGGTGTCAATAACCTGTATTCATCCTTTGTCTCAGTTCTCATATCTCCCTCTCAAACCTTTCTCCTGAACTCTACTTTAATAAACCTGATTAATACACTTTGAAAAAACACAATTGTTCTTAGACAAGCAACAAAACATTTAACATGTCTACAGTTTCTCTGACATTTAGAAACAATCATGACACAATCTAGTGCTTGATTGTGCATCTCTCTGTCACTGTTTGTTCAGACTGCTTATCGGAGCTGCACCAGGCAGTTGAGATAAAGGCCTGAAATCCTCCGATGCCATTTGAATGCAACCAGCTGGCTCGATGGAGGAACTGCTGGAGTCAAATGTGGATAGGAAAGGGAAGTCGATGTGTGTTCTAAAGCCGGCACAGCTCAGTGATCCATAACCACAGATTCTGGATGCAAAGGGCGTCTCTAATCTTAGAACAATACTTGGCAGCATCCATGCAGTATTGTTTCATTTCATGATTACATAAAAAAAAAGGAAACAAAATACTGGACTGATGATGAATTTTGAAGCAATATTAAATAGCTGTAAATACTGAAGATCCATATATACAAATTGGATCAAGGTGCTGGGTTGAAAGTTACAAATTCTATTATTTTTTCACATGTAGATAACCCATCCCGTAGCGTGCAAAGAAACAACTGCACACATGAAAACAACTTAAGGCATATTTAAAGTCTGAAATAGGCCTTTGGTAAATGTACAATCTGCTTGCAGAGCTTAAAGTGACCCAACCCCAATGCTTTTCGTCTTAATGGAATTGGTGAGGCTTTGATTGTGAATTCTAACAGTCCATTTACTGGTCATGCTATACATTAAATCCATTTCTTAACTAAAAAATATGGATTGTGGGAGTTGCCAGGACTTTTGTTCTAATTGAACACTTACTCACTTACTTACTGTGTCTAAAATCAACAGGACATTATCTTGTTAACCTGAACTTGTTTCAATGCAAACAGACAACATTTGAAACACTGGTATACACTGTACAGCTTGTATTGAACCCTCAGCTTGTATTGAACATAGACACAGCAGTGCTTTGAGCTAAATGCTAACTTAAGCATGCTAACGTTTTCTCTCTGACATGCTGACATCTAGCAGGGATCTTGTTCACCACAAGCAGCAACATCCAAGTGTTAAAAGTGATGCCAAAAAGACAGTCCCCAATGCAGCTCCACTGGTTGCAAAAATAAGTACTGTTGTATAGGAGTCTATGTGAAAATGAGCCTATTCTCTCTTTATTTATTACTTAAGTTAGTAAAGTCTTTTTCAACAGATTGGTTTTTATTTAGTAAATTATAGTCCCATGTATAGTAATATAGGGCTTGGCTATTGACAGGTTGCTACCAGTGTTGTCAGGTGTACTGTAGCTACACAAACAAATGGTTAATAGAAGCTTACAAGATTTGGACTTTTTTTCAACGACATAACATTTGTAAGTAAATATTCCACTGGTGAATGTCTGAAACTTCTATGTGTCATAAAAACATTGATTGCTCACACTTTTTAAAATTAGACTATTAAACAACATTATGCAAAACTCACTGCCTTTAGCTGAGCTGTGGTGACACGTAGTCATGTGATCAAAATCTAGCTTGTTTATCGCCTTACATTAGCTTTTTACATCTGTCAATTTAATGTTTTGCTTCGACTAATATAAGTGTGGCGTTAATATGTGGAGATTACCCTGCTAAACCAAATATATATTATAAACGTGTTTGCCACAGATCTTATTTTCTGCAATATTCCTAAATCCGATGGAAATCTTATTGCTTTTTTTTAAGAAGCCGCATCGGCCTATAAATACGTCATCACTGCACCACTCTATTACACACTATTATCAAGAGTATGTCTGGTAGTGAGACCACATTTCTACCAGGGATTCCTCACTGATCTCCATTGTCACTCATTGTCACATTCTTATCAAGCACTGTGTCATCTCAGTGGCCTGCATCCAAAGACAGTGGATGACAGTCCATCAGAATAACATTTGCCTGTTATTGAGACACTATTATACAGACAGAGAACCTCTGCAAGATCTCACCATGGTTTTCTTCAACTGCGCCGACTGTAATTTAGTTCAATTCAGTCTATTACTCACAGTTAAGAGGGCCTCAGTCTCTGAGCTCGGCCTCTGGGATGTGCCTACAGGTTGAGCTTTCTGATAGCTCTGGCTGCTTTTCACTGTGACACTTGTAAGATTTACTCAGCTCTGTCCCAACGCTACAGAAGAAAGGACTGAAAGTAATGGTGTCATGGTGTAAAGGTTGTAAAAAGACATGACCTTTGCCTCATTGCATTTTTCATTCTAATCATATATTTGAACTACATAATGATGTAGTTTTATAAGAATCAGTCATGTAGCTCTTGCCAAAACTCATTTTTCACTAGGATGTTTGCAGAAAAAGCAAAGTCTATCAAAATAGTTAATTAAATTGGTAGCAGAGAACAAGAAACACATTGAAAGATCAAATATGAAAAATACTAGTATAAGTATCTGAAATAGGGCTGCTCGATTATGGCAAAAATCATAATCTCGATTATTTTGGTCAATAATTGATATCACGATTATCCATTTACTTTGAAAACATCAATTTATTGAAAATAAAAATGTGAACAGTATGTTTTTAACAGTTGATTACCCTGAACTTTAAGTATAATTCAACTGAAAAACCAATAAAAAAAATATTTAAAAAAATAATAATCGTTTTATTTCGATGTTGTTTTCATAATCATTGCAAGCCAAAATAGTAATTGTGATTAAAATACGATTAATTGAGCAGCCCTAATCTGAAACAACAATAAACTCTTCATACTGTGTTATTAACTAACACTAACCCTGTGTTTGTTTTTATAATGTATGATGTCCTTTATTGTTTTATGTTTCATGTGGAACCTATATGCTGCAGGTCTCCCTTGAAAAAGAGATCTATGATCTCAATGGGACCAATCTGGTTAAATAAAGGTTTGAAATGAAATGAATATCATTTAAGCTGAATCCACCCTTCTAAGAGGACTGCTTTGTCCTTGTTGAGAGTGTCTTCCTAAGCCTCCCACCATGGAAAGGTCATGTTCCACATACACATTATAGCTCAGATTTGATACTGATTCATACGAGCAGTGTTTGTTGGCTTAGGTCAGTCTGACAGATTCACAACGTGCAGACACAAGATAGCTACAGCTTAAAAGTAGGTTAAATAAGTGAAAAGTTGTTTAAAATACAAATAATTTACATATGTGGAGATTACCCTGCTCAACAAAATATGTATCATAAACGTGTTTACTAAAGAGCTTATTTTCTGCAATATTCCAAAATCAAATGGGAAAATCCCATTGGTTTTGTCAACGGAGCCCCTGTGATGCTAGCTTTTGTGACAGTCTACAAAAATACTGCACCAGCCTTAACATAGAAAAGGTTCATGTCAACCCAAGTTAAACAAAATGAAACAGTTCCAGCCTGTAAACAAAGCCAGGAAGTTGAGCCTTCTATGTCATGACTGTGTGAAGATCTTTCCTGCAGCACCACAGTGGAGCTGAGAGAGTTGTTGCTGTGGTCCAGCAGAACGCTTCAGCAGCTGTGAGTGGGAGGAAGCTGTGCTCTTTCACTCCTCCTTCACTCACCACACACCATACTTGTCAAAAATAACATTTTCTTGCGAGTGCACTCTCTAATAAGGTACACGCGGTACTGGTTGCTCATATCACACCACAAGCAATGACTCTCCTTTCTTTAAATTATTTGGGGGATGGAAGCTCCTTTAACCAGCACCACAATGTTCTATGTAACATCCAATAGTTAAAATAGCTTTTATTATAATCCTTTTTTTTGCTACGTAGTCTTCTTTCTGTGTCTTTGTATGCACCATTTATACCAAAGCAAATTCCTTGTATGTGTAAACCTACTTGGAAATAAAACCGATTTTGATTCTGATGACCAAATATGCAATCTGATGCCACTTCATTTTAACAGCTAAACTAGTTAGCAAGCAGACCTCTCCCTACTTTCATTATAGCAACAAAAGCATGTTTTAACTCCCTTATGTTAACCTTAATTACCTTTATAAGATTATCAAAACATACTTGCTAATGCTAATTAGACTGTTGAATAAGCAATTCAAGCTATGCTAGGGAGGAAATCTGTGCGATCGTTTGGCAAGGGAAAGAAATCAATAACAATCATTGGCTGTTTGAAAAATGGAAAGTGTCCTGATACAACACCATCCTGGGACTGAAATCAACCACCCCTCTAATAATGCCAAACTTCAAGACTTAATGTAATTAAAATGATGAGATATATCAAATCCACTCGGGTACAGTTGTCATTTACAGAGAAATGAGAAAGTAATTGTTCTTGTATTAGGCTGT